GCCATTTGTAACAGATTTAGCAGATTCAGACATTTTGTGCTGACTTTCTTAAACGGTGACTTCTGTTTTTGTAAGATATCTTTGCAGGGCAGCGTTACAGAACTAGCAAAAGAAAAGAAAAGAGAAAAAAAAGAGTAATGATGAATGAAATTGGCAAAGGTGTTCTTTAATTTCGCCTTAAAATATCAGGGGAAATCCCTTACAGTAGGTTTGCCCAGTGCCTGTGAATTGAAGAGTGGAATATGTCACCTCAAAGAACAAGCCGTTTCCTAAACAATAAGAAAACGCAGAGCGAGACACGCATGCAAGCAGACAAAGAAGAAAGCATAAAAGATAAACAGGTGGTGTACAGTACTCTAACATCGCAATGAGCTTCAGTACATTCCTAGATATGCATAGGAAGACACTGGGTTAACAACAAGCGTAGGCTGAGAATAAAAAAAAAACAAAAACAAGATTCATAAAACAGACTACTAAAAATTAAGAAAGGGAAATGCTTCTATGGAAAGTATACTGAATAAAAGTTGTGAAGACTTGAACTTATTTGAGCAACAACTAACAACGAGTGACTCAAGGAAATAGAAACTTCAGTTATTCTCATGAGATTTCCCCCCCCATTTGTTATGAAAATGAGATTTACCTTCACAGGAGGAGATTAAGTCAGAAATGAGAAATTCCCCATTACTGCGCTCGGGTTATCCAGTTATTAATTCAGACAGACACCCCCACCCTCGCTCGACTCCCACTTTTGGCGGAGCAATACAGTCAAAACCAGACGAAAACCACTTGCATAGCAGAGGTTTTATTCCAATGCATATTCCAAATGAACTTTTTCCTCCTCGTCCCAATGCCAATTCAAACTTCATTTTTTTAAATCAAGAGGAAAAGTTGATTTAAGACTGCAAAAGCCAAACCCTTGTGGAGTTATTTTACTTGATCCAAGTTTAATGAAAAGGCTATGGCAGGAAATTCACTTGGTCCATTTGTTTCAAACCACAGATGAAATAAATGAAGTTTGAGCTTATTGCTGATAAATAACCTGACACGAGTTCAACAATGGGTTGCATATAATAAGCATGTTCTTAGAATTCAATGAAGAATATTCCCCCGATAAATTAAAGCAAATAAGCTGCAAATGTCGTCATCATCAGTCACTTTTAATCATCTTTCCCACTGCACCACGACTCTGTGCTCATCTGACTCAGGATAGTTTTTTAAATAGTCATCTGAAAGTACACGTTTCCGTATCGTTTTGATTCTTTTTCTTGTATTTTCATAATTTGAAGATTTCCTACAATTGAGGAACCTCTTCTCTTGTGCTTGTCTTTTATTATCAACATATGCTGGGTATGAAATTGTCTCCATAACTCACATACGCACACAAGTCTTTTTTTGCATTTGTCTTGGCATTACTCTTGAAAATATGTTAAAATAAAATACTTGACATTTGACTCACGATTATGGTGTCATCCTGATTTCAATCATGACACATATTTCTATATAATCATACAATTTTGCATAAAATAAAAAAAAACTGTTTCAAGAATAATTAACGTCAAACTTTAGCTAAACAATTTCTAGTAATTCTGATACATGTTTATAATTTAATATAAACATGTATCTCAAATGTTACTGGCTAGGAAAATCATCAAATATCCTAAGTTTTCTGTATGCGATTACTTTCACAGTAGATCTCTGAAACGCTCAATAACTAACAGAGATGTTTGACTTCGTCCATAACTTCTAAGTTGCTAGTTTACTTTAAATAATGATTAATCTGTAAAATATTTCCATCACCTATACAACCTTGGCCTCCAAAATGATTAAACTAGGTAGAAACAACCTATATCAGGAGAAATCTACCCTTGTAGGCTCCCCTTTAAGGGACGGTTTCACCTTTATTTAGATTTTAACCCAAAGCATCTTTTTTTAGCATGGTACACTTGTGACATCTGAGACAAGCTTGCTATCACAGGCTTTCCATAATGTACATTGACAGGCACAATGTTTTGCCTCCATTGTGCCCTGACCATTCTGTTTGGAAAGGTATGAATGCATAAAGGGGGTCAAAGTTGACGATAACAAGGACAACTTCTTTGTGGACTTAGTGCAATCACTGTATGAAACGTAGGAAACCAAAACGGATCACAGTGAGCAACACCCTTTCCAAATTTTGTCCTAACCCCTTTGTGTGTCACTTACCATCATAAAGAGACACACAGGGATTAAAATGTGTAGATATGATAAATGAAAGATGTTACACGTACACAACTTTAAATGCCGTGCATTTAAATTTGCAATTATTTTGATCATAATTGAAATCATCATTATAAGTTTTAAGTGGCATCAACTTAAAATGGAAAAATTAATTATTTTCTGTTAATATTTTCCTGCATTCTGACTTTGCAATGGGTTTTGATTTGAAATAACAACATTAAAAATCTGAGGACTGATTGGATACAATTATAATAATTGGCAATACATGGCATGCAAAGCTTAGAGGTATTTTTGGAATAACATTGTATTGTTTTTCTACATTTGCAGTAGCTCTGTGAGCTGCGAAGGCCAAAATCAAAAGTAAAGAAGAATTTTGAATAACTGTAGAGATCCACTGAATCGCCACAGCAATATGCTTAATTTATAGTTTTTGCTTTAAATTTTAACAGTTTAAAACAACTAGTATTCTTTGACTTGCATGTTTGACGTTATGCTTAAACGGCACGCAAAGCACTCAAAGATTCGGGAAGCAATCTTGACAAAGTATGTGGTGATGGTGATTAAGTTCTGCATGATGGAATGTCTTGCAACCACAGTGGAGCCGACAAACTCTACTGATAAAATATAGATTATTTCCAAATAAAGTTCTATCAGTCAAAAGAGGAGAAATAATAAATATAAAAAGATGTATTAAGTGGCACAAGAATGTTTCTAACTTATACTGATCATAGAATAATGTTGTGCGCCTCCTCAATACTTCCATTCTCATCATGAAACAAAACACAGACTGCTTAACGGTATCAAAGTATACCAGAGTGTATGGCGTGCAGTACGTTACTGTTTGAAAACCACAGAGAATTGCATGAAATCCTTCCTACGGTTTAAAGTACTTCTTCTAAGACTCCAGAAAGAGTACAACATTTCTATTTTTTTTCTGGTTGTGTAGTATAAAACAATGCAGTGCTACCCCTCCCCTACATGTTGCTGTGCACTGGCTACAACACTATTCTCATGCTCACAAAAAAGTTATCCAGATATTTCTAATCACAAGTCAAGAGTCATGTTTTGACAACTGAGAGACGCCCCCCCATCACTCTAAAAGGTTACATCTCCTTCATACTATAGTTTTTGCTCAAGTCTGCCGATCATAGACAAAATGCCAAAACAAAAATGTTACAATATTTAGAACATATTTGTTAATAGCTGATATGCTATATTTTTATTTAGCAGCAGCATGAAACAATGTTTTTGTTTTGAATTCAGAGCAATGAGTTTATGCTATACATTTTTGTGTTAGTGCAGTTTATATGTGATGCAGTTACTCAAGGTAATCGTACTGTTAGAATCTCATATCGGCCCATATTTATGATATCTGTTCAGATTTACTAATGTGACGTTTTGATTAAAAAAATCAAAACGGAACTGTAGTTTTCATCAGACTTCTTTTTTTATTATTATTAATGGGTTTTCACTGAAGCTACGTCATTTTGTTTCAAGGTGGGAAAGATGCAATCTGCTAACACTGCAAGTTCCAACATATAAATGCAATGCTGCACTATTTGCTCTCCTTGAAGTCATTTATATATATTCTTTTAACTCTTCTAGATCTTAGAAGTTACACATACTAAGGAACATTTAACAGTTTTGGGAAATGTAAACAAATTCTCTTTGCCATTAAAAATACAATGGAAATGTCTTAAATACATGAAAACTACACATGCAGTTATCCGTTCCAGTCACAACTGTTTCTAAAACACTGCAACTCTATTTCTGCTCTCGTCCTGATTTATTTTGTAAATAAGGTAATAAAAGTTTTGACAACAAGAGCCTCTCTTACCAAGCAGAAATGAGGTACAATGACATTCAGGCTGTTCCCGCTCAGGCATACCTCACATATGCCACATCAACCAAACTAAAACACAGCCGATGACTTTAAGTTCAACAAGATGTTAGATTAGGATAAGAGCCGGATGGCCAAAAGATGACAATTCAAAATAAAACTGAACATAATGCCAAAAGGGTTGCATTTTTTTTAATTATTATAATTATTTTTTGCAACCCCCCATGCAGAGCCAACAAACTCATACAATGAGCACAATATAATCTTTTCGTCAGGCTTTTGTTTTCTAAATGAGATCTATTAAATTATGCAAACATGCTATCCAATAATCAGTTATTTCAAATTGATCACTTTATAAAGATTTACTTAGCAGTTTCCCATTGTGTGTGGATATCAATATCCAGCGTACATAAAGCAGTCTTACAAAAACTAGTCGAGGTTTTTAAGAAACTATTTCAAGCACCAACATTTATTAAAGAAGAATGTAAACTGATCAATTAATGCGCAATGTGGGGGTAGGCGCATGTTTTTGACTGTTAGAGGGGTTATGCCTCCCACGCTTTCCACGCCACCACTTTGCATTAACGCCTTTGCAACCAACAGGTCTGTAACAGCTAAAACTCTCAGCTTTGTCATTGAGTGGCAATATCTTGCATTTTTGCTAACACGTGAACTTAGCATAGCAAGCTAATGACAGCTGGAGTGTGGACGTGTCTTACAGTGTCAGATAAAATGACTTAATAATGTGCACATTATAAATTATCAGCATGGCGCTCCGACTGGTTATTTTCTGTTTTGTCACTGCAAGCAAAAGTTGCCGGGAAAAGCTAGCGCAACAAACAGATGTGCAAGTTATGATAGAACATATTGAGCCCTAACTTTACTACCCACACTTACAAAACACACAGTGTTGAGTGTGTGTGCAGACTGAAAACGCACTGACCTGCGGGGCCTGAAGGCTGCTGCTGCCCGTCCTCTCCGAAAATCAGTCTGAAGTCCAGCTCCTCATTCCCGGGGCAGTTTGCAGTAGTCATCGGGTTTGACAGCTCGGGTTCTCACCCCCTCCACCACTCGACCGTCGACGACCGCTGGGAGCAATTTGCGCCGTCCGAAAATGTCACAACATTTACCGACTGCCACGGCGCCAAAACTTTACACTTTTGTTCATTTAACTAAGCTTTCTGTAACACGCGCGCTCCCGCTTTAAAATCGAAATCCAAAAAAAAAAAAAAAAGCAACAAAAGCTCACAGGGCTCTTCTCTTTCTTTCTCTCTCTGTCTCTTCCTCCGGCAGTTAACGAGCGAAATTCTGACTTGAACTTTCAGAGAGAGCCGCCTGCCCCCTCTGCCTCTCCTTGTCCGCTTTCTTCTGTCTTCCACACAAACCTTAACAATAAACCCTCGTTTTCCTCTTGTTTAACGCTCTCTGTACGGCTGCAGAAATACCCGTGTTAATTGTACGCTTCCTTCTCCCTCCTGTCTGTTTCTCTGCCTCTCTCCCTGGAGCTCCGATCCCAACTTTTACTAACCCCGCGTGACAAGGCAGTTCCAGCGCTGACGTCAGCAGACACAACACAGGGCACGCACACGAGCTCGCTTAATCGGCCTTTATAAGCAATTTAATTAGTAAACAATTACAAATACACCTTTAGCATACCCAAACATGTAGCTTCGTTTAAATGGTTTGCCTAAATGAGATACTATTTAAAAAACTACAATAACACGTCCTTAATATAAATTAATCACATCAGATTGTCAATAAAACTTCTTCATAAATCACAATTTCCTTATTCTAGAAAACTGGAATACAAAAATAATTTAAGCTCCTTTTAGCACGTTTTTGAAAAAAAAAAGAGGTATGAGATGAAAACCAGAAAACAAGTAGTAATTTTATTTATTTGTTTGTTTCAATATATAAAGTATTGCATTGAAATATTGTCCTATATTTCTTTTCCCTTTTTTTTTCTTTTTGATGTTGTTGCCAAAAAAGGATGAGCAGACCCTTTAGTTTGGGTTTTCATTTAATATTTAAAATAAAGACATTAAATACCTTTCGAAGAGAAATTAAAATCTGCCCCTTCTTCGCTTCACACGACTTGCGCTAGCGATTTGTTTCACACCATGACGTCAATGCTATTATGTAGTTGGGATCATAGACATGTCTATGGTTGGGATGATCATTTTCAACAGCGGACTCAGATGCGATACAAATGCTGAAAAGTTGTTTTTGTTCTTAGTCCTCTTCTTTAAGATGAACTCGCTCAGACTGAGCGAAATTTCAGAGATGCATTTACTTAATTTTTTGGTTTTCTTATTCTGCTATATTTGTTTTCTGGTGAAGATGTACGACATGGGGCAAAACAGCGCCTCCTACAGTGTGAGTATTTGATGGCTTGTCTCGTAGAATTAGGTGTCTGTTCAGAAATACCAAAAATTTCATCTGATTTTCTCTTTTTTGATTTTTGTTTTTATTGAAAGAAAAAAGAAAAAAGTCAATCACATTTCAATTTAATATGTTGTGTTTTAAAACAACAAATGATCAAACCTTTGGTTTTAATTACTGGTTTCTAATGAGGAAAATCCTATTTAAAAAAAAAAAAAAAAAAAAAATTCTGACCTTAAAATATGACATGTGAGCTTGTTTTGTTGTTGTACTGAAGTTTTTCATGAAAAATGGACTTCAATGCTAAAATATGTCCAAATCTTACATATGAATCGTTTCAGTTATGCATCAGTTTAGAGACGATGTTAAACTTTGTTAATATTCAATTTTGGTTCATTTTCGTACTTGAGGCAAGTGACAAATGAAAAAGACAGATAATAAGAAAATTTATTGAAAGAACTGTAATAATAATATATATTATTTCCATGCATTGGGCTATGAAAATATTATTAAATACTTTAAATCTTCTTGTCAAAACCTCTGGTGGTTACAACCTTCCGCAGTAGACAGCACCATTTTGTGCAGAAAAAGTCAGGTAGAAACAATAGTAATATTTTTGGTTCCTCCATGACATCACTGACCATTTATGGCGGGAATGAGAGTTTTAGGTTTTTTTCGGGCAATTTATAGTCTTCTTTTATATTCACACATTTCTATTTCCTCCCTTAACATTTTGTATCAGTAGAAAAACTTTTCATCACCAAGTGTCTACCATTTTGTCCCGGCACCTGCCATTTTCATATTTAAACTTCAACAGTTTCTCCTGATGATAACAAATACTTATGATTCTATCTCATCTTAACTCATCTTGATTGATCAACATGAGTGGTAAAAAACTTATTTGTAAACAATTTAATGCTTTAGTTTAATATATAAAAAAAAAAATAAATGAAAAACAGTTTGTTTTAATTGTAAACAGAGGGCTACAATCTGAAGACTTAGGACAACAAAAGGGTAATAAAAATGTGGGATGATAAATTGAGTAGGAAATGTCTTCGAGATCGGCCTGGATCACAACAAAGTTGCGTACAAAATGGATAAAACTCCCAAAATAAGGTGAATTCCCAATATTATTATCACCCTTGGGAGTGGCACCCAATGTAACACTTTGGAGATGCACCAAAGCAAAAGTGTGTCCTGCAGTGACAGTATGTACAAATGGTCCAATTCTAGTTTTCTGTTTTTTGTTTTTTTGTATTTTATTGTTAGTTTGTTTTTTGTTATTTGAAAAGACAAAGAAAATCTTAAATGTTTTTTTTTTAAATGCCAAAAATTAAAATTGGCTATATTTGGATTTATTAAAAACAACAGCAATGAAAGTATCACTTTTTTTATTTTCTGGTGTCTGACGGACACTGTGGGAGTCACTGTTTCTTCTAAAGAAGCCTCACAGAAGATGTCCCACTTTCACCATAAAACCAGCACAGATTAACATGGACAAAAAAAAAAAAAAAATGACCACCCAAAAATATGATAAATTTGCACCTGTGAGCATTTTTTTTTATCCCACGTGCCCTCAATCTTATACTTAAACCAACTGAAAAAGCAAGTTTATTTACCTATTTATTGCCACACACTGTGAACTGTGTGGCTTAGTTGAATTGAGTGGATGATGTCATCGTCATGCCGTTGTGCAATAACACACTTGCTTTTGACTATATTTAGCTCTCAGATTGCATATTCAAGCAGTAAATAATGCATGTCAGCTATCACCAGACATTACTAATTGTTTCCTACTTGACAAAAGGAAAGGGTGCAAGTGCGGCAAGAACAAAGCAACAGTAAAATTGTCCGTAGGTTAGATGTTCCACTCCCTTTAACCTCTGTACCTCTTCTAGCTCATCAATCTCCTGACCCTTACCTTTATTGGTAGCTTTGATTGTCGTCTTGACTGACATCATTTATGTTTCTGAACAGTTATTTCCTGCTGTTATAGTCCCAACTAATCACTTATAGCAAGTACGCACTCTTTAGAAACACATGTGTGTAGTTACACAAGACCTTTCTTTGTCAAACAAGTGTGTAATGTTTTACCAAAGGTTTATGCAACACTGATAAACATAGTTATAAACTTTCATGCATACACACATAAAGGCTGCTGTTCACTTCGGCTGTAACAGATCAATGACTTGATTGGTCTTAATGATCGCCCCGCTGTAAAAATCAACCATTAAGATATACTATTTATGATCAATTCCATGCCAGCTTTTTTGAAATAAATAACTTTGAGCTGTTCTAATAATTAAAATCCAAAAGATCATTTAGATTTTCTTTGAAAATTGTGTTAACAAAACATAGATTTTCAGCTGTTGTTTTTAAAGGTTCTGCAGATAACACCCTCTTATTTTTCTTACACAGACACGGCGCACATATGCTCGATGCATGTGGGCGTACAGACAAGCTCTCAGCTCACAAATGCAGCTCAAAGCATCAATATCACATTTCCTGTGGTCTTTATTTCCAAGCAAAAGTACAAAGTTTTTTTTTTCCAACTTATTTGCAGTCATGTAAAGCACTTCTCTTTGTACATGTAATTTGTTCCCCAGATCTCCATATAAGCCAAGTTACAAGCAGACTTACAGTCTTCTCAGTATGAAATTTCAAAAGGAATTCCTACTTTGCTGCAACCAACAACAAATGAGAATGCATGACAAATCTAATTATTTTGTTGTGTGAAATAACAACAATCTGAAATGAAAGTAAGAATATAAAACTTTTTTTTTCTAATTTATGCACTCTTATGGCTACTTTAAAAACTGTTTTATTATTTTTCACTTTTGTTCATTTATACTCTATATCCAGGTCACCATATACATCATGAGCCTGATATGATTTACATATGCAAAGAAACAATGATCCAAACAAATCTGAGGGAAATATTTGACTGAGTTTCTCATGAGAGTCTTTTTCTTTGTTCCTGTCCTGTTCTATTCTTCTTTTTTTCGTCGTTCACTTTAAAATTCTAAAATACATTTAGATGCACTGTTGCTAGTCTACTCCATTCAAACTACATTTTTTAAATGCAAAACTGCTATTATAAATGCTATTATAAATCCAAATATTTTTTCCTTTTCACAACTCCCACACAAAAATGAAGCTGCAATTTAAACTTCCCTACCAAACAAAATGACACTTTTCCTATGTGTGTGTGTGTGTCATTCGTATTTGGAGATTACATTATTTCCTGTGCTAAAGACCCAACCCTGGTCTAATTCAGGTTACCTGCATGTCTTATCTTCGCTGATGACCTTTGAAGGGAGAAGATAAAGAAAACAAATTGTGTGGGAGGCTGTAGATGTGGTTTGCGATATTTTGTTCTTGTAAAGAAAGTTATGGAGGGAAAAAAAAGAAGAAGAAGAAGAAGAAGAAGAAGAAGAAGAAGAAGAAGAAGAAGCACACACTGTCTGCCCCCACACTGGTCCTGTTTCAGAGGTGTCACTCTTTCAAGGATTGCTGCTTGCACACAGTGCAGAAATGCAGCGCAGCACCATGGCGATGTGGTGCAACTTTACATATAAATGTCAGAGAATATCAGACGGTGTGGTTATGAGGAAGAATGTCTCCTGTCAGAGGAGAAAAGAGTCTTCACCAACTGCTGTGGGGGAAAATAAAAAGAGGACTCTCAAAATCTAATAGTAAAAGTTATGGTTTCATCATCATCCAAAAGTACCTGGGGTTCTCCTCTGGAATCTAGAATTTGAATGACATATTCTAGGTTGTTCTGTGTTTGTGCTGCAAAAAAAAAAAGTGAAGTTTGAAGACAGAACTGGTAATACTATGACTCGAAGTGTTCCTTTATGTTTTATGCTGCCCTCTTATGTTCAGTATGTGGAAGTGCGTGTTTGATTAAATACTCAGATCAACTCGGTCATCAGGGATTAAACATAAAGCTTTAGGTGAAATGAGGATTAAATTCCGTGGAACCAAAAAAGCAAATCATAAAACTGACAAACGCTATGTTGCTATTAGCAACTTGTGTGAAGCAATAAGTCAAATCCATTGGTATAAGGTTCAAAATTTAATTGTATTGTTTAAACAACAAGCTAAGAGAAAATAAAATAGGAGCTATAATATTTAACTAATATTTGGTAATAAAAAGTTCAGAGGAAATATTTAGCTGGAACAATAAAAA